TTATTAATTATTTTGCTAGGATTTGATCCCAAAAGCACCTAAGAGCATTTCCACCAGTGTATATTATCGCTTTGTGTTAAAAAATATGATAGAGATAAAGAGTTAGTCAAGAAAGATCGGGAGTGAGTAGAGAAAAAATGTAGTAAACTCAAAACTTGCTCTCTCCTCTACTCTCACTCTCGATCTTTCTCTGCTAGCTCTCTATCTCTATCCTATTTTTCTCTCTTGCCTAATCTGATTATTTCTCTGATTTCTTCCTCTCTCCTCCTCTTCTCCGAATCTTTGTCTCCTACTTCTCTCTCCTCTCTCTGCTCTTCCTTTGTCATCCCTTTCCAACCCTCTCTTTGGATCTCTCTATTGTCCAATTGAATTTAGTTGTAATTTCCAAATCAAAAGCCAAAAGGGAGTTGTAGGGGTTTTTTTAATTGTAAATTTAGAAACAATTTTAAATTTCATACCAAACGAGTTTTTGAGTCTTAAAAAATTGTTCTTAAAAGACATTCTTAAGAAATATTTTTAAAAATTATGAAATTGTTTAATACGACAGACCCTAAATAACTACTGGATAACATGATAACTGATACTTGATTAGGGATGACAATAGATTGAAGCAAGAACAGATATGTCATTCTCATCCCCATCGTTGATAAAGTGTTCCCCTATCCCCTATCCCCATTCCCCACCTTCATAGTCGCCATTGGGTAACAGTTTTCCCCCTCCCCGTTGCAAAATAAAAATAAATCGGTCACGTAACAAATTGAATGGTTAATAGTCGATTGGTCACAATATATTTTGTAAACGCGGCGGATTCGATATATATGGGATTATAATATCCTCATTGACTTGAACAACAAATCCGAACCTTAAACCCGTTCTCGTACCGATTTATATCTTTAATGCTCTATCCATCTCTTCCGGCCTTGGAAAAGTTGGAGAATTTCAGACTAATTTCACATCATATGTAGCCACAATCAAGTAGACTCACTAATTCGGAGTATCAAACCGAAACCTTCCACATTTTCTTTGTCTTTTTGACGAATCGCAGTCCGCCCCCTTACCAACGTGCCACTTGATGTGGTTATTAGTTCATTAAATGTTTTTTTATATGTGAAATTTTTAAAAAAAAAAATATTAGTACAGAAATTGAGAGTGATTCGAAATTATTACAATAATATATATGTAAAAAAACTCACACTCTATTCATTAAGATATTGAACCATACCTAAAAAAAAATATAAAATATAATTCAATTATCTAATAAATATTTATTATGTGACATTACTAATTACATAATAGTATTTTTCACTCCCGAACCAGAGGAATGTCATCCCTGGATTTGATACGAAAAGAAAAATCACTATATCGATGGACGGGTTTGACAAGAGATGATTTGATGTGTGCAGAAAAATTACAGCAGGAAAAGAAGGACCACTTTCCATACACTCCTATTTTCTCATATTTGTACAGTCACAGTTAAGTTACGTTAACATTTTATATTACTATTACTTTTTGTCTTATTATCTCTATAAAAAAAATTAATATAAAATATTGACGTGACTTAATCGTAACCGTACAAAATAGAAAGGGATGAGAATGTATAAGAAGTGGGAGGGCAGAAAAGCCGGGTCTGAAAAAGAAAGAGTTTGGATTCTCTCATCTCATTTTTCCATCCCTTTTTATCTCTTTGCTTCATGCTCATTTGATTCCGCTAGGGAATCCAACTATTACTTAATATACCAGAAACAAAGAAAAGTTTAGGGTCTGTTTGTTATCCTATTTGAAATTTTTTATCATTTCTCAAAAATAATTTCTTTTAGGACTCAAAAACTTGATTGGTTTGTGAATTAAAATTTTTAAATCTTACGACTTAAATTAGACAAAAAGATCTAAAAAAGAGGGGTCGCATGAGAGAGGGAGAAAAAGGAGATGAGGAAAGAAAATAAGAGATGATTGAAGCAAAGAAAAAGAAGAGAGGATCGGACGAGATAGAGAAGAAGATAAGTGAGATAAAAAACTAAGAAAATGAAGAGAGCAGATTGGAGAAGAGATGAAAAAGGTAAGAAAAAGAGGAGAGATAGAGAAGAAAAGATAGATTTTGAGTGAGATGGGAGGAGGGAGAAAAAAGAAATGAATGAGTTTTTTTGAGTGAGAGGGGAGGAGGAAGAGAAAAGAAATGAATGAGTTTAAGTTTAAAAACTCTAAAAACTCACTTTTTTTGTTTTTAGATAATAAAATATATTTTTTAGTTAGTCTTAAGTTTAGTTTTTTAAAATAGTCATACCAAATAAGTTTTTAAGGTCCAAAACTTGAAAATTGTTTTTTAGTCTAAAAAATTGAATTCAAGTACAGTACCATTCAAACCCTTAAATTATCAATTATTTCGCTAGGATTTGAGCCCAAAAGCACCTAAGAGCATTTCCACCAATGCTCTTTTGCCTTGACAAGATTGATTTTGTGTATATTATCGCTTTGTGTTAAAAAATATGATAGAGATAAAGAGTTAGCCAAGAAAGATCGGGAGTGAGTAGAGAAAAAAGTAGTAAACTCAAAACTTGCTCTCTCCTCTACTCTCACTCTCGATCTTTCTCTGCTAGCTCTCTATCTCTATCCTATTTTTCTCTCTTGCCTGATCTGATTATTTCTCTCCTTTCTTCCTCTCTTCTCCTCTCCTCCGAATCTTTGTCTCCTACTTCTCTCTCCTCTCTCTGCTCTTCCTTTGTCATCCCTTTCCAACCCTCTCTTTGGATCTCTCTATTGTCCAATTGAATTTAGTTGTAATTTCCAAATCAAAAGCCAAAAGGGAGTTGTAGGGGTTTTTTTAATTGTAAATTTAGAAACAATTTTAAATCTTATACCAAACGAGTTTTTGAGTCTTAAAAAAATTGTTCTTAAAAGACATTCTTAAGAAATATTTTTAAAAATTATGAAATTGTTTAATACGACAGACCCTAAATAACTACTGGATAACATGATAACTGATACTTGATTAGGGATGACAGTAGATTGAAGCAAGAACAGATATGTCATTCTCATCCCCATCGTTGATAAAGTGTTCCCCCCCCATTCCCCACCTTCATAGTCGCCATTGGGTAACAGTTTTCCCCTCCCCGTTGCAAAATAAAAATAAATTGGTCACGTAACAAATTGAATGGTTAATAGTCGATTGGTCACAATATATTTTGAAAACGCGGCGGATTCGATATATATGGGATTATAGTATCCTCACTGCCTTGAACAACAAATCGGAACCTTAAACCCGTTCTCGTACCGATTTATATCTTTAATGCTCTATCCATCTCTTCTGGCCTTGGAAAAGTTGGAGAATTTCAGACTAATTTCACATCATATGTAGTCACAGTCAAGTAGACTCACTAATTCGGAGTATCAAACCGAAACCTTCCACATTTTCTTTGTTTTTTTGACGAATCGCAGTCCGCCCCCTTACCAACGTGCCACTTGATGTGGTTATTAGTTCATTAAATGTTTTTTTATATGTGAAAATTTTTTTTAAAAAAAAATATTAGTACAAAAATTCAGAGTGATTCGAAATTATTATAATAATATATACGTAAAAAAACTCACACTCTATTTATTAAGATATTGAACCATACGTAAAAAAAAATTATAAAATATAATTCAATTATCTAATAAATATTTATTATGTGACATTACTAATTACATAATAGTATTTTTCACTGAAGGCCCGAGGAATGTCATCCCTGGATTTGATACGAAAAGAAAAATCACTATATATCGATGGACGGGTTGACAAGAGATGATTTGATGTGTGCAGAAAAATTACAGCAGGAAAAGAAGGACCACTTCACATACATTATTTGTACGTTCACAGTTAAGTTACGTTAACATTTTATATTACTATTACTTTTTATCTTATTATTTTTAAAAAATAATCAATATAAAATATTGACGTGACTTAATCGTAACCGTATAAAATAGAAAGGGATGAGAGTGTATAGGAAATGGGAGGGCAGAGAAGCCGGGTACGGAAAAGAAAGAGTTTGGATTCTCTCATCTCATTTTTCCATCCCTTTTTATCTCTTTCTCCCATATTTTCTATTTTATCTTTCTTTTTTTTATAAAAATTTAATATAAGATTTTAACGTGATTTAATTCTGATCGTTCAAATAGGATGAGAGAAAAGAAGATTGGAAAAATGAGAAAAGAAAATCCTACTCCGAAAAGAAATGGATGCGAAAGAAACGAAGAGACATTTTGTTCATGACCTAGCCACGTGGACGGTTCGATGCTGTTGTTGCTTAGCATTCCCGCTAAAAATGAGCCACATCCTGAGCAGCCCATATATACTGCGTTTCTTTCTCAATCCATTCCACTTCCCACACAACCCCCACAGTGCCTTGCTCTGCGCTTCCTCCTCACTTCCTCTCGCCGCTTCATCACCAGAAAACAAAGGTTTGGCTTCCACTCGAAATCATATATTTGTTTTTCCAGTTATATAATTCATAGAATGATCACACATGATATATTTTTTGTGGAACTATGAGTTTTTGTTTTTCTGTCTTGTCTATTTTTTGTATATTTATTTACCTATATGGTCTACTTTTGTATCTTTTGTTGATATTATATCATTCAGTATATTAGGTTTGAGTTCAGAGTTCTATGGGGTTGAATAAATTCTTAAGTTTTAAGATTCCACTGCAAGATTTTGGGTTATATTGCTGATGGGTATTCTTGGTTTTACTTCGTAGTGCAAAAGAAATAGACGAAATGCTTGTTTTGGACTGCTTTTGTAAGAAGCACGTAATAGGTGCTTTGTGCTTAGATATTTAAAGCGGTTCAATTTACGACCCCAAAAACGTTTTTTGAGTTTTTCTGCCAATTGTCATTAGCGCTTTTGGGTTGTTAGAAAACACTTAGCAAAGCAATCTCAAACATGCCATAAATCAACTTGCATGAATTAATGTTTTAAAAAGTAGGGTTTCTAGGGTTCTAAATTTATGATAATTTTGTGTTTGCTAGATATGTCTGATCATGGAATTGAAGGCAGTGTTGTGGGTAGCAATGATGGACTGGATGGGATTTCTATTCCATCAGATTCGGATACAAGGGACAATGTTGAGGAGGGGGTTGATAAAGATGATGACGTGCAAAAAGCTACTACAGAACTTGCAGTGTTTATGTACGTTGTAGGTCTTCTTCCATTTAAAGTGGTTGAAGATATCTACTATCTAAGGATGGGGCATATGCTTGTCGAATACGACCAGCAGAAAACTCTGAGGGCTGTCGCCGACTTTGTTTGCTCCGTTGAGTTTTCGCCTACGTTGATGAAGCATCCTATTTTTCGGAATTTGGCACTTAGGCTTAACCCAAGGTTTAATCTTACTTATGGCATGGTTAGAAGTGAATGCATGAAGGTCTATGGGGAAAGGAAGTTGGGAATTAAGGAATTCTTTGAAAATTTCAATGGGCAGATTAGCCTTTCTGTGGACTTATTGAGGTACCAAAAATCGCTTAGTTTGGACTATGACAGTGAAATTTACTTATGTCTTTACGCGCATTTTGTTGACGAGAATTGGAAGCTGAGGAAGTGGGTGCTTTACTTTCGTCATCTCAGCGATTCATCTGATGATTGTGGTGAAGATTGGGGAATTTTTAAGTCCATTCAAGATTGGGGCATTGAGGACAAGATATCAGCAGTCACCACAACTAATTTTGATTATTTAGCCGAGTATGTGAAAACTCACATCCAAGAAAAGAAGGAACTTCAACTCGGCGGTCAGCTGTTTAATGTGAATTGTTTGGGGAAGACAGTCAGTTTAATGGTTGAGGATGCATTTGAAAAGATTGAAGATCTGATCGACAAAGTTTCTCTACTGCATTCTTCGAAATCATTACCCCTGTGGTATCTCACGAGTTCCAAGCTCAAACCAGCTATAGAGTTATGGCATATGGGAGAATTCTCTTCAAAAGATGTGACTGATGATTACGACGTACCATCCCCCGAGGAATGGAAGACTCTTGAAGGTGTTTGCAATCTTGTGGATAGCATCTATGAAGTGGCAAATGCATTGTTCGAAACAAAACATCTGACCGCTAATGTTTATCTTTATCACCTGCATGAACTTCGCGAGGTTCTGACCAAAATGTCCGTTAACTCGGACAGTTTTATCAGAACTATTGTCGAGGAAATGTTGAAGAAGTTTCACAAGTATTGGGATGACATGTTCTTGCTGATGGCAATAACTGCAGTGCTGGATCCTCGATTGAAGATGAAATATGTAGAATTTGTTTGCTCAAAAGTCAAGGGTGATGTTGCAGACTCACAAGTTGCAGCTGTTTTGGGGGCTATCCACAAAATGTTTGACGAGTATGTGATCCGTTTTCCTGAAAACGAGAGCTTCGTGAGTGATTCATCTTCTTTGGATTCAGATTCAGAAGGGGAGTCTCCCGACTCTACTCCTCCACTTCCTCCTAAAAACGCGAGTCATACTTTTGGTGTGTTGCAAGCCTACCAGCAGTTCGTCGAACAGGATATTCAGCCTACAAAAAGATCGGATTTGGATAGCTATTTGGAGGAACCGGTCTTAACTTGGAGCAAGGATTTTAATGCATTGACCTGGTGGAGAACCGCAGGCGCCAAGTATCCTACCCTTGCGAGGATGGCACGCGATCTCTTGGCTATTCCAGTTTCTGTTGCGACTTCATTCGAGGCATTCTATACCGAACCAAGGCCGGTTGACGAACGTGTAGCTTTCTTGAAGCCGGACTTTCTGAATGCCTTAATGTGTACCCGCAGCTGGTATGCTGGGAGGCTCTGAAAGATTGTTCGCAGGTCATCACTACTATTTTGTTCTCTGTTGTTTTCTTTTAATTTTTGTGATTATTTTCCATTATTTCACTCCTGCAACATGATTTCTTACAAGATTTTAATTTAAATCCGGGGGTGGTTGTTTGATGCAGGTACGTTTCTTTGCTTTTAGATGATCTTTGCCGTTTACGTCTTACCCTGGAGGGCATCTTGTTTATTTTGAATTCCGTTAGGGAAAGCGGACATCTTTTTTTGTTTGTTTGTATTAAACTGTTGAATGGATCTTGTTTTGGTTGTCTTTGATTTCCAGATAGACGGTTGTGGGTGTGCATGCGTGAGACAATGGATATGATATGGAATGCATGCTAATTTCATATCATATTTTTGCTTTTATGTTCTTTTTATTTTAAGCTCGATATATGAGAAATCTTAATTTTATGCACTGATTAAATTAGATGCAAAAGTTTATATAATTTACTTGATCTCGTGATTATGCAAATTCATCTTGTTATCGCGGCTAAGGTGCACCACGAAGTTTTTATATACCTTTTTAAAGAGAATATTTAAGGTTTGGCAACCAAATCACGTGTCTCTTGAAATAAGAGCAGCTCCACTGGTACTTGGCCATGGGGATTGGCAACAAATCCAATCCAATTGTCCCCCAAACTAGCTCCAGCCTATTGGGCTAAGGGGGAGCCCTTGGGAGAGGGCAAGCGGGAGTCCAAGGCCCGAGTGCCTAAGGGGAAGTGATGTCAACCACGTTCTAAAAAATTTTGCGTCAGGCGCAAGGGCAACATGCGCACGTGAGGGTGCGTCTAGGGCATATTTTCAGACGATGGGGCCTGCGTGTTAGCCCCACTCAGTCACTTTGAATAGGACCGTTTGATTTTCATATCAATGGTGCAATTTTTCCGGCTTTAAAAAAAATCAGAAATATTTGGGTGGGCTAAGTGTCTCATTCTGGATTGTTGGATTTCAAATTTTTTATAATCTGACGGTCCAAATTAATTAAGTTAATAATTTTTTTTTAAAACTAATTAAAAATCCAAAAATATTTTTAAAAAAATTATGATATTTTTTTATATAAGTACCTTACCATTTTCTCTCACCTTGAACTACATTTCGATATTTTCAACGATTCTAAATAGGTAAGGATATGTTGCGCGACGGAATTGGTTAAAAATATTATCGAAATCTATTTACAAAAATTGTGCTTTCGAATAATGACACGTGGCCTGACGAGATCAGTTAAAAATCTTACTCAAAATTTAAATTTAAATTATTTTTTAAAATAAAAAATACTAATATTTTATTGTCTGCTATCATGGCTATTCAGTTTAGAAGTAAAGATGCAAAAGAAAATTACTATTCATTAAAGGCAATTACTATTTACCATTATTCTAAAAATCATTACCTAGGCGCTAAGCGGCTGGGCACCGCCTTGATTAATGCCTAAGCATTTGAAAATTGAGAAACGACGCCTAGACCTGTTGAGGCGCTAGCCTAGACCTGTTGAGGCACTAGCCTAGACCTCCTAGGCACCCACCTAGGCCACCCAGATTGGCACTCGCTTAGATCGCAACTCACTTAGATAGAAAATAAATAACTTTCATTTTGCATTTTTTTTTTTCAATAAATTATAATAGACTTGTTGCATATTTGAATGAACACACATTATATCCTTATTTCACATGTTTTCATTATGTTCCAATACTTCATAATATATATGCATTATATTTTGTAGTTTATGATAAAATTATATATATTTTAAGTATAAGCATACACTTATTTACACGAAATGTAATAAATTTATTTAAATCCCCCTAGTTTGCCTAGGTGCTAGGCCCCAACCTGTCGTCCGACTAACGCCTAGTGTTTTTTAGAACTTTGCTATTTACTGGAGATGATTCAATTGCCAATGGTCATAAGGAGCCCTTAGACATTGAAATTGCTCTAAGGCCATATCCAACCAAAAGAGGGCCAAATGGCTCGTTTTAGTATTATAACCCTCTAAGAAATTAATATTTTAATAAACAATGACATGTCATATTTCATACCATCTCCAACCAAGGAGACAAATGACCATAAGCAAAACATAGCCATGTGACAAAAAATCATCTCCAACCGAAGAGGCCAAAGGATCATAGTATAGAATGTGAAGAATTGAAATAAAATAAGGTAAGATAGTATAAAATGATAAAAAGCATGTGAGAAATTGCGTAGGAAAAAAAATTTGAAATGAAAAAAAAAATCAACCAAAAACAAAAACAAAGTGGGCTGGCTTGCTGACCTAATTGACTAGGTTTGGCCTGATGGGGCTCATAAGACCTTTGGTTTAGCTCTCGATTAAAAACGATTTTCATGTTATTTCGAGTTATTTTCGATTTTATAATCCTCGGACCGGACTGGTTAAAGATGGTCTAATAAGCATTGCGTGGCACCATTCTCATTTGTTAAAAAGTTGAAATCGAACCAAAACGGTTGGATTGATTTGATTTGTCCTGCTTGAACAGTTCAGCCCCTTTTCTACCCACCCCTAGGGCTAGCCGGCTAGGGTTGCTCAATACATCTAAAAGCTATGAACCAAACGAAATTATTTTATTTAGCCAGCGAAGGTTGCCCAATTTGTAACTTTGTCGAGTCTGATTGACATGACGCAATGCTCCTCCGGCTCTGTCTCTGGATTTTCCCAGCGAATGAGTGTTTTCCTCGTAAGTGCCAGAGATCTTTGGCTTTTTTTCCTTCTCAATGTGATAGAGATCTTCTGACAACTTAGATGATAGCTTTTGAAAAAATAGGGTTTTCATTTATTGGTGTAAGGTACAATCTAATTTTTTTTACTTTTTACACGCTTTTTAAATGTTCTATCACAATCACTACTCTTATTTATTGTTTGTTTGAAATGAACTTCAGACTCATATTTTACTACCATTTCTTGATTTGATTTTGAACGTTGCGTGAATCAAACAATAATAATTAAGGGAGGCTGAAATATTTTAGTAAGCATTCTCTGCCCAGAAGCAAAAACAATAAATTGTCGTGATGAGGCGACTAATTGATAATTTTTACTTTAAAACAGAAAAAAAAAATTTCGACTGTGCCGAAGAAATGCTACTCTTTTAAAAGTAAGACGGTTCTCTGCACTTTATATTATAATGTTAGTTTTGATTCTAATGGTACTGTTTGATACGTGGGACGAGACGTTCCGTCACACGTTAGGTGCGTCTAAAAAGAGTGGAACTCACTGTTTCACTAACGAATTTTGGGTGAATTTTCGTTCCGTCTCACCCCTGGAACGACTCGTTCCACATCCGTGGAACACAAAATTATAACATCTCCGTCTCCTTCTTTTTCCTCGTTATTTCCATCCGAGAGCATCTTTGCTCTCTCTCCGTTCTGTCCCGTCCTATTCCGTTCATCTTGTCTGCATACCAAACGATACCCATATTAATGAGTTTGATTTCACTAAAATCATAACTAGAAAGAAAAAAATTGAGCTTGCCACGTGTACGGTGCCGATGCTGTACTCTTTACTCTCCCGCCAAAATGATCGTTACACAGCCGACCTGTATACTGTGTTTTTCTCTCACCAGTCTCTTCCTCTTCCGGAAGAAGCCCTAAATTCCTGTGTGCCTCTTCTTCCCCTTTTTCCATCCGGCGACTCCTGTTCTCACGACTCCGACCACCTCCGTACCTAACGAGGTTAGATTTCTCCTCAAAATTGTACCTTTTTAATACCTTCTTATCAGGATTCATTCTTTGGGAGATGTTAGCAATTAAATGTTTCAAATATTAATCACAAATGTTTTGCTTCATGTATTCTAATTCCTTTTTTATGCTTTTTGTGCTTCACTTTTTTGTTTGGGTCAGGATTATTCTGTCTTTTTATATACCAATTAGCATATTTGTATAATTTCTTTTTTCGTTATAATATTTTTATGATCAGATTTTTGGTAATTTTGTTACTGGGTTTCCATGATAATACTCAAATTTTACTTTTTGACTCTGCTTTGAGCGTTTGGAAAAAAAATTAAAAGTGTTTTAAATGCAAATAAAATCACTTTAATTGGTTTTATGGAGAAGCGCATGGACTTTAGAAGTAATTACTTTGAAAAACAAGGGATGATGATTTTAGGGTTCGTTTGATAACATTTTGTTTTTAGTTTCTACTAAAAAATGGAAAACTGAAACATTGTTTGACAACGGACCAAAAATTGGAAGCTATTTCATGTGTTTGAAAAGTTGGTTTTGAAATTTGACTTTAAAATGACTAGATGAAGTACTAGATTGATACTGAAGGTGCCTTTATAAATGTGGGTATAAAAAAAGCTAAGCTTAAAAAAGTGTTTGGTAAACATTTAAAAACAGCTTATTTTCACAGTTTTGGATGAAAAAAAGCTGAAAATGTGAAGTAACAAAAATTAGCTTATTCTCACAGCAAGCAGAAGTAGTTTTTTTTTCAAAGCACAACAATACCAAACCAGTCCGAATACATACGAGAATAAATGAGTCATTCGAAAGTTATGTGTTTAGGGCATTTGTAATGTTTTAGTAGTAGGTATTTTGTCCACGAGTAGTTCATTGTAGTGCATATTTGACAATTGAGTCAAGAAACTTTAGAAATTCCCTCATCCAAACATAGGGTTAGTCCCATAATGCAAGACAAATAGATGACATGCTTGAATTATTAGTAAAAGGATGGGGTTTCTAGATTGTAGTTATTTTGTGTTTCTTAGAAAGTATGGGGGTTTTCCTGACTATTAATTGAGCTTTTGGTTTCTGAACAGAAGAAAATGGGTACCAAAGAAATCTTGAAGAAATTTGACGGGCAGATTAGCCTCTCGGTGGATATTATGATGAACGAAAAAAACTTTGATCGTTATCTATGCCTTTCGGCACATTTTGTTGATGAGAAATGGGAGCTGAAAAAGCAGCAGGTTTATTTCCGTTCTCTTGAAGATACCAATGATCTCCTTCCTGAAGACGAAGATTGGGGCATTTTTAGTTCCCTTAAGAAATGGGGCATTGAGGACAAGGTATCCACACTCACTATGACCAATGATGGTGTGTATGATGAGTTAGCTGGATTTGTGAAGGGTCGGATCCAAGAAAAGAAAGAACTCCAACTTGATGGTCAGCTGTTTCGCGTGTATTGTTGTGGGAAATTAATTGGTGAAATGGTGAATGGTGCGTTTCAAAAGATTCAAGATATCATTAACAAAGTTGATCCATTGTATCCTGTTGCAAATTTACCATTGTGGTATCTCACTAGTAGCAAGCTAAAAGAAGCTCTGGAGTTATGGTCTAAGGGAGAATTCTCCTCGGTAGATGAGACTTTTTACGAAGTACCATCCGCTGAGGAATGGAAGAAAGTTGAAGGTGTTTGCAAAGTTTTGGAGAGCGTATATATGGTATCAAATGCATTGTTTGAAACAAAAGATCTAACTGCGAATGTTTATCTTTATCGCCTTGATGAGCTTCGTGATGTTCTGACCCAAATGCACAATGACTCAGACAGTTTTACTAGAAAAATAGCTGAGGGCATGCTGAGTAAGCTTGACAAGTACGTGAACAACATGTTTTTGCATTTGGCAATAGCTGCTGTGCTGGATCCTCGGTTAAAGATGCAATTTGTAGACACTGTTTGGTCAAAAGTTAAGGGTGCAGAGGGAGGCTCACGAGTTGCAGCTGTTTCGGAGGCCATACACAAATTGTTTGATAAATATTCGCTGGACGTGCAAATGAATAATCACCCTTCAGTAGGATCGGACTTGGATCTCTATTTGGGAGAAGCTGTTGTGCCTTGGAGTCAGAGTTGCACTGCATTGGCTTGGTGGAAAACCGCAGCTGCCCGGTATCCTACTCTTTCCAAGATGGCACGAGACTTTTTGGCCATTCCATTTTCTATTGCAACTTCATATGAGGCATTCTACATTGAACCAAGGCCAGCCAAGAAAAATTTAGTTGGCTTGGAGCCAGGCCTGGCAAATGCCTTATTATTCGCCCGATCGAGGCTTGTTTAGTAGGCATGGAAGAATGTTTAACAGGTTAACTTACACCTCAAGCTTCCTTCTGTGTTCCTTTGTTTTAATTTCCGTTATTAATATTTTTTTTTACTTACTATATTCTCCTTTATGATATTTCTTAGGATAATACTAGGGAGATCAAATTTTGTGAACCAAATTTTCAAACCCAATGATGTGGTTGTTGATGATTGGATTATTACTTAAGCATTGATTAACTTGCATATTTCATATTGGTGACACATCGTTTGATTTGCAAATTTGGTTTAAAATTTTGATTTCCTTAATATTACCCTATTTCTTATGGTTTAATTTTTCTGTTCCATTTTCAGCATTTGATGACTTGAACAGGTACTTGGCTTTTGTGATGACCTCTATTTTGGAAGACTTGGACAACAAGTGTGTTACTTTTGAACTCCACTAGAGAGATTGAACATCTCCTTTTGTTTTTTGGTTGTAACTTGCAATTGTTTGTGAACTTGTTTCCCTTGGATGGTGAGAACTGGTTAACTTTATGGCTGGAGATGGTTTAATATATGTATCAAGTTGAGGTTGTTTACCTTATTTCTTGTATTTGTGTGTGCATTAATTAATGATAGTGTTATTCGAACACTTTTTATAACTTTTATACATCCTTGTTAATTTTTTACCATTAATTTTTTTCAATTCATTCGCTTTGATGGCCATAAATTGAGAAAGATGTGAGAGTTATAAATGCGTGTGTGGATAACATTGTCCTTAGGCCACGTATGATGTCTCATGTTCTTTTTGACAACAAAATGTTTTTGAAAATTTCTAAATTACGAAAATATATGGCGTACTTCGTTAATTTTACCATTAAATCCAACGGGGTCAACTATTTCCCTTAGGCCACGTATGGTGTATGATAATGGATTGGATAATATTAGATTCAAAGAAAAATTAATGAAAAGAATTTGAAAACTTTGAGTTTTAACGATAAGGACAAAATAAATGGTAAAGTGAATAATAGCAAGTTTGACTTTTTAGTATAAAAATGTGGTTTTTCGTTAAAATGAACAGTGCAGTGGGATTTTCGTTAAAACTCCATAGATTCAATGCATGCTGAATGAAGAAATTGATGGCAACTGAATAAGGAAACCGGTTCATTTTGATTCCAACAATAATAGTAGTATTCGGGAAAGAGCTTCCTGCGTGACTAATTCATCTTAAACATGCATTAAACTTAATAAGTAATTTGGTCTTTTTAACGAGTAATTAAAATTTATTTCAATGCTAGACATCATTTACGGCCTAGAGTATAGAATAGTAATCGCCATTGGATCATATACCTTAAATCTACAAACTCCATAGTCGTCGTCCCTTGCTCCAGCTTAAGGGCTGGTGGCAACTCTTTCTATTTTTCTAGCCTTTCTCCTTTATCTTCTTATGGATTTTTATTTATCTATTTTTCATCTTAGTATTTCCGTCAATAAGTGTTTTCTTGATGGCGTTATTTATGAGTCTTTCTTCGTGAGTATTAAATTTTGTGTTGGTGTGTTATCGGTTCCTTTGGATCCACTTTGTTGGAATCAATATCTTTGTTGATGGTATTGCGCAAAAAATTCATAGTGGTATAAACACTAATTGGTTCATAGTCAGTTTCTCTTCGGAGTCAGCGATGATCATTGTCAAAATGTATCCGTTGTATTCAAACTTTGTGTAAAGAATTTTTTTTATCAAGAATGAAGTTTCTTTGGAAGTTACAGAAAAGTTTTGTTCAAAGTACTTAAATACTACAAAGACTTTTACATACTTAGAAGTTAGAAGTCATAAAAAGTTGCTAACGTGACTTCCAAGAGATTTTTTTATGGATTTTCTGTCACATCATCGTTTAACGTCGATTCTCTTACTAACATCATAAAATATTATGTCAAAAACATGAGGTAACAAAAAGTCAATGAAAAATCCTATTTTTTAGAAAGTCTTCCTAGCATTTATCTTTATTCAATACAAAATGACTTTAACAAACTCCTTACAAGTTTATATTGAATATACCTAAACTACAGAGGCAAGCAAAGTCCATCAAACTTCATATACAACACATCTCCCTAAATTTTAATTTTGAACTTATGTGATAGTGTCTCGTTTAGATAAATTTCAGTTCGTTTCAAACTTGATTTATTTCTAACAACTAAAATGTTAAGAAAAATAAAATAAAAACACCATTAGGATGCCAACTGAATCCTCTCCAGATCATTTTGGTGAGGATCTTAGAAATTCGTAAATCGTGTCTGCTCATCATACATCGTACGGTCAATTTTTATTAGGTATTATTTATATTTAATTTTAAATAAAAATATTTAAAATAATCTATAATCACATAACATACGATGAACAAACATAATTCACGAATCCCCAAAAACTTCACAAAAAAGTTCTGGCGATAATCCGAATTCATTAGGATGTAGGCTAGAAAGACTTCCAAATGTGAAGCGAGCGAGTGAGAGAAACAAGAAAACGAAAAGTCTTACTTTGTCCTGTACACCAAAAAGCAAAAATTAAGACATGTCTTATCAATATCCCTGCCACGTGTACGGCTCCGATGGTGTTTATTTTACTTTCCCGCTAAGCTACTAGTACGCTCTGCTGCGTTTCTCTCCCTGTCTAGACTCTAGTGTCTGCTCCATTTCCCACAACCCCAAAATCCCTTGAGCGACTGCGACTCGACGCGGACGAGGTTCGTCTTCGTCCTCCCACTCAAGATTTCATCTTTACTGTTCATCTATCAAGATCGACGTTTGAGATACCGATTTCGTACACTTCTCTTCCTGTGATGTCGTTCCGTGTTGTGCTTTCTGCGTTTTATTCTTCTCTTTTGTTCTGGGGGTCTGGTCTTTTCTGCCGTTTTCGTGCTTTTTCATTTACCAATATTGTAATTTTTTTGAGGTTATCTTTGTATTATCTTTAGTGGGGCGAATAAATATTCAATTTTTACGATCTCTGTGTAATATTTTTAGTATATTGTTAATGCGTTTCCATGATTGTGCGCCAAGATTACTTTTTTGGTTGTTTTGTTGTAATTTAACTTGGAAATCTTGTGTTTTCGTTGATGTCTGTGGTTCTGCATATTCTCAAACTTTCAGGTCTATTTGTTTACTAATGAGTTCACAGTTTGGTGGGTGAATATTAGAATTATGTTTTTCAGAATTTAATGTAAGATTCTTGGTTATATGGTTAATGATTATCCCTGATTGTGCCCCAAGATTACTCCTTTTTAGTTCTTCAATGGTTCAACTCGAAACACGAAAGAGAAATAGATTTTATGCATGAATCTGGGCGGCCTTTCTTATTTTTTAAGCGCTTAGTGATTAATCATGACGGTGACAAGCTGCCTAGCACCTAAGTGCGCTAGGTGGGGACTTTTAGAACACTAGCTATGGTGCTGTTAATCTTGTTCTGGCTGGGCTTAGACGTATTTTCTAGTCTATTTGTATCTTTGTGAATAAAGCTTCTGCTGTTATGAATTCACTTTAAGATTTTTGGTTGTATTGTTAATGGGGTATCCACGATTCTGCACCAAGATTACGTTTTTAAGTACTTTAACTCCATAACACAGAATGAATAGATGTCATACGTTAATTAGTAGAAAAAATGATGGGTTTGATATGGTACTAATAATCTCGTGTATTTCAGATATGCCTGGGGTTTCTGGAACCAATGAAAGTGACAACAGTGGTGATAGCAAGGATGCCAAATCCGCTTCATCAGTTTCAGTGACAGAGGGCAATGTGAAGGTACGTGAATACGATCCAAAAAAGGATTTAAGGGCTCTTGGACAGTGGATTTGCTCTAACCAAGATCCACCCAAGTATTTTGAAAATGTTGATTACATACAGTCAATTGGCGTGTTTAACCGGCTGTTTAAGCCTACTTTCAATGAGGTTGAAGGTGAATGCATGGAAGTATATGAGAGAATGAAAGTGGAAACTAAGGAAGTATTAAGAAACTTTGATGGACAGATTAGCCTCTGTGTGGACCTACTCACGGACAACAATGACTTTGGGCAGTGTAGCAGTAACTTGGGACAACACTACAGTGATTATTTGTGCATTTCCGCGCATTTTATTGATGAGAAATGGAAGCTGCGAAAGTGGGTTCTTTACTTCTGTACTCTTTCTGTTTCGGGCCAGTCTGATGATTTACTTAAAAAATGTGAAGACCGGGGCATATTTAGGTCGCTGGAAGATTGGGGCATTGAGAACAAGATATCCACACTCACTATGGGTAATGATAAGTTCTGTAATGAGGTGGCTGAGTATGTGAAAAGGTACATCCAGGTAATGAAGGAACTCCGACGTAATAGTCAGCTGTTTCGTGTGTATTGTTGTGGGGATCTGTTCCGTGAAATGGTGCAGGATGCATTTGAAAAGATTGAAGATATCGTTCACAAGGTCCGTCGAGTTTATACTTTTACAACTGATTACCCCATGTGGTTTCTCAAAATGGCCAATCTACAAGAAGCTCTGAAATTGTGGTCTATTGGAAATCTCTCTTCCAAGGATGTGATTGACTCTCACGATGTACCATCCCCAGATGAGTGGAACAAAGTTGAAGGTGTTTGTAAAGCTGTAGAGAGCATACATAAAGTATCAGGAGCATTATTTGAACCAGAAATAGAAGTAACTGCTAATGTTTATCTTTATCACCTTCATGAGCTTCGTGAAATGTTGACCCGAATGTCCATTGGCTCAGAGGGTTTTAATAGGTCAATAGTTGAGGGCATGTTGGGAAAGGTTGACGAGTACTGGGATCACATGTTCTTGCTGTTGGCAATATCTGCAGCACTGGATCCTCGATTCAAGATGAGATATATTGAATTTGTTTGTTCAAAAGTTGAGGGTAGGGACGGAAACTCACAAGTTCCAGCTGTTTTGGAGGCCATTCGCAAACAGTTTGCTGAATACGTGATCCGTTTTCCTGAAAAGGGGAACTGTGCGAGTTATTCACATTCAAAAGGGCAGTCTGATCCTCCTGTGCGTGCCAATCATACTTTCACTGTGTTGCAAGACTACCAGCAGTTCATCCAATCGAATCATCACCCTGCAAAAATATCAGAATTGGATATATATTTGGACCAACCTGTCTTGCCTTGGAGTCAGGATTTTAATGCATTGGCTTGGTGGAGAAGTGCAGCAGCTAAGTACCCTACCCTTTCTCGGATGGCACGTGATTTTCTGGCCATTCCAGTTTCTCTCTCGACTTGTGGCGAGGCATACTACACTTTATCAAGGCCAGCTGATGAACATATGATTTGCTTGAAGCCAGACTTGATGAATGCCTTAATGTGTGCTCGAAGCTGGCCTTAATAGGCGCTGAAGAACATTAGCAGGTAATGAATACTACCATCTCCTTTGTTCTTCTTCCCCTTTCTGTTCTTAATAATCATATCAGTATATATCCTGCAAGATGCAAGACTGCTCACAGTGCTTTTTTTCCGTTCATTTGTGTGCTTGAACAGGTACCTTTTTTGGGTTTTTGGCTGCCTCATTTTTGTAAGGCCAGAGGGAATCAGTTTAGCTGAGCATTTGACGTGGACATCAAGTTACGTACTTTTGATGTTTGAACTCCATTTGACACCGGCGGAGATTGAAAACCGATAATTGTTGAATTAGAACTGTTTTTTGAGCAGTCGTTACTGGATGCCTCCACGTTTTGAGATGCTTTGATATTAGGATGCTGAGAAAATTGGCCCCTCTCCGTGTATTTTGCAGTTCCGATTTCAGGACGGAGTTTGTTGCTTAATATCATGCTTTATGAACGTAAATCTGAAGCAAGTCTTGTTCTTTCTAAATACTCGTGGTTTCCCATTTTTTGATGTGATTTCGACAAAGATCGATTTTTCTTTTACCTCAAAGATCGATTATGTTCAACCTTGCGTGATCTACTACGTGATCATCTAAGAGAAAGTTTGGTCTTTAGGGGAGGAGAAAAGAAGCTGTTGAGCCGGAGAAGCTTAAAAAACAAATAATAAAGAGCTTGTAGTTTAAGTAGTTAAAACATTTAATTCTCTAGTACGGACTGATTTGCGTCTGAGGTCTTGCATTTGGTTCCCTCCTCGTCCAACGTAGATGTAGTAAATTTGAACACATTTACAACAAAAACAAGCAATAATGCTAAAGGAAACACGTTTTTACAGCACGAGTCACTCAAATTATTGTAGTTACTAATTGAACATTGTAATTAATGTAACATGTACGCTCTGTATTTTACTTTTGGGAGTTTAACATATTTTTCACGTAATTTAGAATTTCTTCTAAAAAAGAAATTTAGTCACAAATAAGTTAACTATAAAAGTGTACCCTTCTCTACTCTCAAACTCGAATCGCGTTCAAAATTTCCACATAGTTTATAATAAAGTAAAATATTGTTGACTCACAAAAAAAAAAAAAAAATGTCCTCTTTAGACCAACTTCAATGGTTGGGCTAAAAGCCAAATTTTTTAGTTCGGAAAATTTAGCTTTTAGTCCAGAAACAGTTTTTCTACTCCAACCCTTCTGGCCTAAAATTTTAGCCCAGAATTATTAAAGAATGAACTTAGGCTATTTTTTTTCTTAAATTAAAATTTTAAAAAAATAATAAATATGTAGACTATCGTAAATTAATTTTATAAACATTTTAATCTAAAAATATTTAAATTCCGATAAATATTGAAAAATCACTCAAATTTCCACAAAGCAAGCCTTCAACTTTCACCAATCTTTCAACCTTGTGCTAACTTTCAATTCACCAACCGTTCAACACCAAATTTTCAATTCACCAACTGTTCAACACCAAACTTTTAACTTTCACCAACCGTTTAACAATTTGGAAATGGAAAGAAATGGTAGAAAGATAAATTGGAAGAATTGTAGGAGAAAATTGAGTTCTGTGTGGATGTTTGAACAAATACATAGGTATTTATAAAGTTTTTGGGTGAATTTTAAGTTAAATAATTTTTTTTAATTATTTTAGCCATTGGATTTAAATTTGGGCCGTTAGATCTTTTTTTTTTACCGTTAGATTTGATTATATTCAATTTCAGCCGTTGGATTCAATGTATTTTAAAATAACATATTCTAAAAAAATTAAATTTGAATCTAGACCATTGGATCAACCAATGGTCCTTAAAGCCTTGCCCCCTCGGATTAAAATTATAGCCGTTGGGATGATGATGTTGGCCGACACACAGCTGACAGCGGGGCCCACCCCTGTCGGGAAAGCCTTGCAAGCCAACCGCGTGGGGCGCGTTGGAGCATGGGCAGGTCGAGACTGGCCCAAGTGCCAGCGAGTCCACTCGCATGGGGGGGAATTTAGGGGGTATTTGGCCCAGCTTTGGCATTTGGCTTTTAGCCCAATGTTTTAGCATGGGTTGGGTGGTGTTTTGGGGGGTGGAATAAATGGGGAAATTTGACTTTTAGCCCACCATTGGAGTTGGTCTTAGACCCACTCCAACCCCCCGGGCTAAAACCTATAATTCCCCTTTTTTCCCCTCTAAAACCCAACCCATGGCCTAAACAAAACCTAAAACTCAACCCGAGACCAAATACCGGCCCAAGTTTAGGCCACAAATTGGAGTGGGCCCCACCTGGTGCGACTGAAACATGGGCTGTGAAGCCCAGACGCCACAACCAAGCGCCAACACGCCAGACGCTACAGATGGAAGCCAAGTCGAACCCCACCCACGTGGGTGTGTCCCCCGGCTGTCAATGGGTGTCAGTAGCCCAACGGCTACTTTTTTCAATCGAACGGCTGGATTTAATTGGACCGTTGGTTACTCCAGCGGTTCATGTTCAAATATTTTTTTTTAGTTTTATATTTATATATTTATTAAATACAACAACTTAGATCAAATATAATCAAATCTAACAGTAAAAAAAAGTTCTAATGGTACAAATTGAAATCCACAGCTATTTTAAATCAAAATTCACCCAAAAACTCTGTAGTTTGGTGAAAGTTGAACTATTGGTGAAAGTTGATAGTTTGGTGAGTTTCATGTGTCGATTTAATGATTTTTCAATATTTATCGGAATTTAAATATTTTTAGATTAAAATGTTCATAAAATTAAATTACAATAGTCTACATAAATTTTTTTAAAGTTAATTTAAGAAAAAAATTAGTCTAAGTTCATTCTTTAATAATCATGGACTAAAATTTTAGGTAAGAATAGTTGGAGCAGAAAAGTTGTTTCTGAGCTAAAATCTAAATTTTCTGAGTTAAATATTTGTAGGTTTTAGGCCAAGGTTGGAGATTATCTTATCAAGGTAACTATTTTATGCTAATTTAAACAGCGAGTTGAACTTAAATTGTATAATTTCCTTATGTATTTCTTTTACATCTCTATCCCTATCATTCGTATTCTATATCTTTCGTTTTCCCATTGTATTTCCCTCTCTCTAATCTAAAAGTAAAATAATTACCAAGCCATCATCAGTAATATGAATTTGAATTTGTTTTCTTTTATCTTTCTTAAAGAAAACTAACAAAATTGGCATAAGCAACATCTTAAAGTACGGTGGACCAACAATTCATTGAGAGTACAATTACATGCTCTACAAATTGAGAACGAGATTCAAATATAAGTGCAACACGACACACGATGTATTGACCAATTGTCACATAACTCATATTTGTAAACATAATTAAACAATTTAAATCTAATCAAACATACAGCTCTAAAAAATAAAGTAAAATTGATAGTATGATCGGCACGCCTGCGCACACTGGATAATGACCCGGCAACCTCAATGTTCTTAATCAGACATTAACCATCTTTTACAAATAAAATCCAGGCAAAACATCCAACCGTGCGTTGACAAGGGAACCTCCTAAAGACGACGCCGTATCGAAATGTCCCTGAATCTGCAGCATCTGAAACTCGATTTTTCTCACTGCATTAAGGTCACCTCAGCTTTCCATTTCAAGAAGAACCCTTCTTAAAAGCTTGCAACTTTTGCATTTAGAGTAAGATTTGATAGCAAATTTTGGTGCTTTTGGCTTTTTGGAGAATCAGATTTGGAATAGCTCAACTTCTGGAGCACCAAATAAGGTAATGCTTCTTCTGAGCTTATATAAGAAGCAGCTTCATAAAGGTTGCAATCGTTTATTTTCCCTGATAGATACTTGATAGTGACACTGAAAGTCTGAATCTATATCCTCATCAGAAAGATGGAAAATTTTAGTAAGATTTTTGAGTTCTGGGTTTTCTGGGGTTTTGATTTTTGAGCAATTTTTCCTTGGAAATTTTTATTTTTAATTATTTATTTTTGTGTATTATTGGGTATTGAAGAAAGAACGGTAGCATTCAATGTGATTGTGCAAGCTAAACTTAGCAAGAATGTGAGAGAAGATGAGATTTCGGGAACTGGGTTGGATGCTCACCTGGGTTTACTGCATATAGAAAGAGGGGATAGGAGTAGAGGTGTCATGGGGGTTTTGTATAAGCATCAGATTCGCCGGTTAACGAAAATGAAGAAGTGGTCCGGGGGCTTGTTAATCGTAGTTCTTGCTATGATCTTGGTTTTTCGATATTCCAGCATTGTCAAAATCGAGCCACCAACACAGGCGCCTAAGCAGTCGGCTGCTGAGTTCTTTGGAAACCATCCAACAACTAATGATTCTGTTATTGTGGATTCGGAGAAGAAAGGAGAAAAGCCATATAAGAAATCCCATTTTGTAGAAGTTGATGGGCTGGATGATCTTTTTGCTTCCCATGACATTTTCAAAGAAGGGTCGAGGGCCTTGCTTGTATGGCCTCACATGCGTACCCTACTCTCCAGGTCCGATGCTTTGCCTGAAACAGCTAAAGGGGTTAAAGAGGCCTCCGTTGCGTGGAAAGACTTGTTGTCCGCAATTGACAAGGACAAGGCTTCCAAATTAAACAAAAGTGATAACGAGGAAGACAAAAATTGCCCTTTCTCTGTAAGTACTTTTGACAAGATAGAGTCAAGATATGAGAATATACTTGATATCCCTTGTGGCCTCATTGATGATTCTTCCATTTCTTTGGTTGGCATTCCTAATGGGCACTCTAGAAGCTTTCAAATCCAACTCCTAGGCTCCCAACTTTTAGGAGAGTCTGAGCCTCCTATTGTCTTGCATTACAACGTCAGTCTCCCCGGTGATAACATGACACAGGAGCCATTTGTAGTTCAAAATACATGGACTCATGAACTTGGGTGGGGCAAAGAGGAAAGGTGCCCTTCTCACAGGTCTCCTAGCAACCTCAAAGGTAAATAACAAAATTTTCTGTTTAGACTTCGGACTGAGAGTGTCAAGTGAAACTCTTTCGCTAGAACATTCTCACAATTTACTTATCATGTGATGGCTCAAATTTGAACCAAATATAGAACATTGTGTAAAAAATTTAAATAAACGCATGGTATAAACGACTCTAGTAAGATTTTTTCCTTTCTTATTTGTTATTCGAAAGTGGTACTTACAACACTGTTTCCCAATATAGTCAAATCTCGATTGTTTGTTATTTTCTGTCACGTAAGAATGAAGGTCCCTATAGAAATATATATATTTTTTTTTGAAAAAGGGGTTTTTCAGCTAGAATTCTAACATATTTTAACGAATTTGACAGTTGATGGACTTGTTCTTTGCAATGAACAAGCTGTGAGAAGCTCGTCGGAAGAAAGTCTAAATGTGAGTCGGCCTAGTAGGGACATGTTGACCAATGTTTCCGGAGGTGCCTATGAAGGTTCCAATTTCCCATTTGTTGAAGGAAATCCCTTTACCGCCACATTTTGGGTTGGTTTAGAGGGATTTCACTTGACTGTGAATGGAAGGCACGAAACATCTTTTGCGTATAGGGAGGTAAGGTATGAATTATTGGTAATAAGCTAATAACGGATTATTGTACAAAATTTGTTGTTCGGCAAGACATTCCGTTTTTGTAAAACAACCTACCTACAATACTTCTTTTCATATGCAGAAACTTGAGCCATGGTCGGTTTCCAAAGTCAGAGTGGCCGGTGGTCTGGACCTCTTATCTGCCTTAGCAAAAGGCTTGCCTGTTTCTGAGGATCATGATTTAGTTGTTGATGTTGAGCACCTCAGAGCTCCGCCCACTTCGAAGAGAAGACTATTGATGTTGGTTGGAGTTTTCTCTACTGGAAATAATTTTGAGCGTAGAATGGCTTTGAGGAGGGCTTGGATGCAGTACAAGGCTGTGCGTTCTGGAGATGTAGCTGTCCGGTTTTTCATCGGCCTTGTAAGCTGAACATTGCAGACTGGGAGTGGTTTGCCTTTTTTTTTTTGCTTAAATAGAAATTTAACCAACCATTTCCATAACAGATATGGGTGCAAAGAAATTTCTGCTACTTAGCTTAGAGCTTGCTGCTTATTGCTTTCCTTCTTATACTCTTTTACATTATGAACCTGAAGAAGTGAAATAATTTCTGCATTTAACATACTCCTCGGACTCCAACATAGCGTTATAGTTGTGATATCAACATATTGATTGCTCGGAAAATTTGGCCGATAATGAGGTTTACAACTTTTTCATACATGCAGCACAAGAACAGCCAAGTCAATATTGAGCTGTGGCGAGAAGCGGAAGCATATGGAGATATCCAACTGATGCCATTTGTTGATTACTACAGCCTGATCAGTTTGAAGACAATTGCAATTTCTATTTTTGGAGTATGTTGATACAAAATTCCTGCAAACTGAATTATCCATGATTCATAACTATGTTTTTGTCATTGAACTTTATTTGTTTTAGAAAATTTATTGTTAGAAAAGTTACCAATCATCTTTATCTTAAACATGCAGACCAAAATCCATCCTGCTAAATATATCATGAAAACGGATGATGATGCTTTTGTTAGAATCGATGAAGTGATCTCTAGCCTCAAGGGAAAGCCGACCAAAGGTCTCTTGTATGGTCTAATATCCTTCGAATCTTCACCGGATAGGGACAAAGGCAGCAAATGGTTTATTGATAACAGGGTATTCACATCGGATTTCATTCTGCACCGTGCATTTTGCTTGTTTCACTTTGACTTTGTTTTTCTTATGAGTCTCCTTTTGTGCAGGAATGGCCATATGCTATGTACCCACCATGGGCCCATGGTCCAGGCTACATAATCTCTCGGGACATCGCCAAATTCATTGTCCGTAGCCACCAGGAAGGGGATCTCAAGGTAAAATTTCTTGTTAACTTTGTTTTGTTTTATAAAAGACTGATAGTTGAAATACAAATGAGCAGGCTTTGAGTTGATTTTCTCACTCCTAAACTGACATCTCGGCGTTATGACTTTTCAGCTCTTTAAACTAGAGGATGTTGCAATGGGAATCTGGATTCAACAGCTCAAGTACAGGGGTCAAGAAGTGAATTATGTCACAGACGATAGGTTTTACAATGCTGGATGCGAGGCGAATTATATTCTCGCACATTACCAAAGCCCGAGATTGGTGTTGTGCCTGTGGGAGAAGCTGCAGAAAGAGCACGAGGCCGTCTGCTGTGAGTAAAAATGTCAACTTTAGGGGGGGAGTTGGTGGTTTCGGCAACATTGTGTTGGATAAAAGTTGTAACTGTACAGATATTCTTCAGCCTGAAGAAGTGGGAAATTTGGACTCAACTTGTTTTTCTTGTTGGATCAAATGGTATTCTTTTGTTGATTTACAGTAAAGATTCAGGTGGTTTCCCACATCTAAGGGCTTTTTGGTTTTTCTTGATAGATCATGTTGACCTCTTCAATGTCTTCATAGATATTCATGTACCAAACAAATTGCCAAGAAGAATTTACTTATGCTTACGAGCAAAGGTGCTTTGAGCCCGTTTAATGCTTTTCTAGAAAGCACCTCTACTTAAAAATACTTTTCTGGAAGAACTTTTGTTAGAAGCATGCCAAATTGTTAAAAGAAAAGATCACTTTAAAGTGCTTCAAAAGGCTCCACGTAAAGCTTATTTTTTTATGGTGTCCTTTCATAATCCAAACAAATTTTTACCCAATGTTGTCATAATTGCTTTTGATTATCTGATCACGCTTCTAAACCTCAGAAATCAATATCAAACCAGCCATGTTTACAACATATTCTCAAATGGGAGAAACTTTAGTAGGGTTGATCTATTAGTATCTGTCTCACATTAAACAGAATCATTTTGATATCATGAAATCGAAATACAATAAAAGTCTGTATTTTTATGAAAAATCTTATACAGCTAACGTGCTCGGATGTATACTTTTTTATAAAATAAAAACATGTTACAAATAACGTAGTCGGATATTCCAGCACTCCAGATGAAGTGTGGCATCAAATTATCGTTATGTTATATGTTATATATTAATTGTATGATTATTTAGATAGGAATATTGGTGGACCGACAGCCAACAGGATCATCTCCGAATCTTTTTTATGAGAGTGTGATTAGTTTTTATCAATTACTGTTTTTGTTTAATTTTAAATAAAAATATTTAAAATAATTTCTGATAGTACAATGTACAATGAACGAATAAGATTGACAAATCTGAGATTCTCACAAAGAGGATCCGGGTTTGACCTGCAGAGTCACATTTTTGTACACTTTGAGCAGATGTGACATTTGGCGTGCTGTTTGATGATCATTGGCCGGTGTGGATTGGACCAGAAGAAGATTGGCCAATCAAAAATATCTAAAAGCTTGTTGGAACTTTCGTGAATAAATAGTAAATACGAATATGTCGGACCAAATGATAAAAATATCGTCAAGGTTTTGATTGATGGGGAGGTTTTCAAGTTTTGGACCAATCATACTTGCTATCTAGATATCTCACGAGATATTAACTTTTACGTTACGGATGTTTGTACATTTTATTTGGTTTCTCTCCTTGCGTAATTGGTTGTACTTCGTAACACATAGTTTGTTTGAAAGCGTTATTAAAACGATTAAAACGTTTTTGAAATAGATTCTTAGTAAAAATTCAAGTAAATCTTGAAGAAAAAAATTTAAGTGCTTTGCGGAAGAAGCATACATTTGGTGCTTCTTCTAAAAATCACTTAAAATGGTTTGGAACTCAAAAATTAAAAAACCAATTTCATAAAAAACGATTTTAGTTATTTTAAAAGTACTTTTAAATGAGCTCTATATAAGTTATTGTTAAAATTTGGACTTATTATAATAAAACAATGAATAAATATTACATGAGCGAGTCTTATCTGAATTTTGCTATTGAGAGAGTTTGAAAATAACATTTAGCTTGCTCTTAAAACTCGAATTCAGATTTTCATTTTTTCCGTTCTCAATGACAAAGTGGTATTTTAAGAAATCAAATTTACAATTTATTGTACTTTATATTGGTATTAAGGGATATTAAAACAAAACAACTTTGTTTTAAACCTGTATGTTCCAGAAAGCACCCAAGGGAATTTAATTTTATAAATTCATACTTCTATGATCTACATAGCAATTAGCATGCAGTATATCCACACAAAAAAAAGACCTCCACCTTGTAAATATGGATGCCAAAGAAGATAAATGTCAGAATCTTTGATGGGTAGGCTGAGATAGTTGGATTAACTATATGGCTAATCTCCTTTTAACTTTTTGTTCGATAATAAAATAAATAATTAACAAATTAAAAATAAAAGTAATAAAAGTAGAGGAAAGAGGACTTGCGAGTTAAGTTACTTTGATTAGTGTTGGTCTCAAAGCTGGTTTAGTATTGTTATGTTTAAAAAAAAAAACGTATGATGTGTTGTGTGAATAAACAGTTGTAAAATAAAGAAATTGAGTGTTTGGTCCAATGTCAGATCTCTATAACCTAAACAGGTCAGACCTCAACGACGTTATTTGGAGTCACAAACTTGATGAATTTGTCGCATGCAAAGCTCAAATTTCATTTTCCTTGTTCTTCCTTTCTATAAACCATTCAATCTCTCTATGTTCCTATGTTGATTTTTAAGGTAATTGAAGGTCGCCAACCTTCAATCTGAAGAACTACAACGAGAAAGGGGTAAAGTAAAGGAGAATCGAGGATTGGTTGTGGAGGTTAATGTTCCTTACAGAGAAATTATTTTGAGAACCTTATTAAATGATTACTATTCACTCCGTGTTTTTACATAAAAAGAAAAGAAAAGAAGAGGCTTATTTTGGGAAGCAACTCCAGCTGCTTCCGTTTTTTTTTATTATTTTGGCATAGGATTTTGAAAAAAAAAAGAACAGATTATTATTTTTTTTTTTTACAAAACACATGATTTTTAACACAACTTTTTGAAAAATTTAATCAATCTCAAACCAATGCTTAAACAACAAATTAGTGGAATCAAGGGCTAATTGCTGACCCAAGCCACAAACTCTAAATCCAACAAGGCAACAACCAACCAAAACGAACTCTCGTACGCAACCATTTCTGGCTATATGATTTAAATGGAGGAGCTTTAATAAAGTTGCTTAGTCACTCCGCTTCTTTAACTAAAAAATTAGTAACCTAATTATTGAAAAGAAAGTACAATTAAAATAAAAACGTTTAACATAAAATACTGCATTTTAACGCTACGTGCACATCGGATCCTTGTGTGGAATGAGGGAGGAATTTCGGCTTTCGTTTTCTTCATGATTCATAAATAATGGCTTCCTCCTAATTTAATAATCTTAATTTGTTGTAAATTTCAATGCTTCACTATTTGAAATCACGATAAGGTGCTCAGTGGTTGGGGGCGAATTCCAAATTTGTATTATACATGACATTTTTTGTGTTCGATTTTTGGCGTTGATGATTCACACGATGATTATCAAAAGAGTATGAAATGTTTTTGTGAGTCTTCTCGACTCCTATAAAGGTGGACTGCAATGACGAAGTCATTAGCTGATTCTTTTTTTTAAGAAAAAAAAACTTCATTATTTGAATTGTACATCATGGTTCACGTGATTTAAAGCGAAAGATAACAAATTTATGCAATGATCATGCTTGTGGCTATATAAAATTTAAATATATTACATATGATTTGTGTGATGTCAGTCATTTGTAATTCTTACGCACGTGGTTAAGAGACGTTTCAATAATATCCTTGTGATGAAGAGCAAAACTTTAAAAGGTGTCAAGTGCCACATAGGCTGTCAAATTTAAAATTTGACGTCTCTTTTAAAAATAATTTTAAATGACTCTTCGCGACTCACATGTGGACGAAATAGAATAGAATTTCATGAAAATATCAATTTGGACTATGAATGATAACAGACTTAATCATAAGGTATTATTATGATTTTATTCACCACGTGACTAACATTGACACATGAACTACTTCATTTGGATAATTTATGCAATTAGTGAATTTTCTATGTAGTTTTTTATTTTGTTTTCACAAGTCATACCGTAGGCAAGTGGATTCAAACTCGAAATCTCAAATGCACTGAGTACTTGCTTTTAACCAATTAATTTAATCCACAGAGTTCGTTTTTTCGTGATTAAATATAATTAATAGTAAATTACTGTTACGGAGTCATAGGTGGCGTCAAAGTGGATGCGGCAGCGGGAAGCAATCTTATGTCGGCACACTGTTTAGCTGTCACTACGTATAAGGAAAGCGAAGCACGGAATTCCAATTGCCGAGTCGGAATCGGAAACAAACGGCCGCAGAGGACACCTAGAAAGGGTAAAACCGTCAAAAAACCATTCGACCGCCTTCTGGTTGCCTCCAACAATTTACCCGCCAGGATTCACGAGTCAAACACGCTACCTCACACAAAAACACCCCGAACCCGGTCCGCCACGCACACGTGCCGTCCTTGACAACGGTGTTACCGGTTCATCCGGTCATTTACTCCGTACCGGACTTGGATTCCCGATACCAATATAAATACGACTCTCTCACGCTCCTTTTCACATTTACACACAACAACAAAAATTTCGAGAAAATCCGAGATCGATCGAGAATTGGAAACCCCAAAGCCGAAATAAAAACCCTAATTTGCTATCCCTCTTCTTCTTCACTGAAAAGATCCCTAATTTGGTAATTTTTTGGACCGTACGACGGCGTTTAAGGATGATTGTGAGCCAGGAAATGGTGGCTGAGGCGGAGGTTATCTGCCAGGAGACGGTGCTGGACATGAACTACGGCGTCTGCGTGGCCAAGGAGCACGAACTACAGATCGACGTGGCGTCCTCCTCGCCTACCTCTCCGAGCTTCGGCGAGGTTGTCGTCGCCGAGACGATTTTCCCTGAGATTTCTCGCTTCGAATCGGTATGTTCTATAGCTCCGTACCACTTCGTATGAAGAATTAGTGAATTATTTTCTGCTTTTAAGGGTTTTTGTAATTGGGTTTTCTGTGAGGGATTTGTTTTTTTAATTATTTTTTTGTGTGCGATTTGTTCGATTGTTTTGTTTTTTCTTGGGTTCTTCTGCTCTATATTAGTTGTGTTTTGGGAATTCTATGAACATAATTGACATGGGTTCTTGAATTTTTGTGGGTTCAGTTAGGGTATACTGAATTAACTGCTTCCGAGGGTTTTCTTTTCCTTTATTTTTATGTTTTTAGATTTAATGGTGTTTTTCATTAGCCTGGAATACCTTTTCCTCATGAACTCTGGCGAATTTTTTTTTTACCGAATAAGTTCCAATTCCTTGGTGGTTTAGCTTTACAGTAAATTCCAAGTGAACCTTTTGATTTGGTGGATTTTTTAATGGAATTGATCAGAATTGTGTACTTGGTAGATTTATGCTATTTGTAGAATTTCGAGTCTGTATGAGCCCGATTAGATCAGGTGATCGAGGTTTAATGGGTTACTCATTCGGTGATCGAGGTTTTTCTTTTATAACATTTGATTTGCTGCTTAAT